TTTTTTTTTTTTTTTTTTTTTTTTAAACCACCCTAAATTAACCCCCCCCCCCCCCCCCCCCATTCGGTTTCTGAAAAAAATCGAACTAATATTTCCCTCTTGGAATTAGAATTTCGACTAGATGATTTATATTACTAAACCGTACCAAATGGCATCGTTCGCCCTCTAGAATACCGGAAAATTCCGGGGCCCTACAGCATCCGCGACCCCCCCCCCCCCCTTTCAAATAATCCTGGATCCGCCCCTGCTATTTATATGAATGTTTTAACATTGTCATTATTGGAAATTATTTGGGTTAAGACTATTAACCATGGCATTTTCGTAAAAAAAAAAATATATATATATAACCACAAATTAATTAGAAGTTAAAAGGACCACACAAATATACTTTTTACAATTTTTAATATAGCTGCACACTACACGTTTTACAATTCTTTACATTGTGGAATTTACATTATGATAAAAGCTACTTGTAAAGAAAATAGCCACACTAGTACTAAACCCTTTAAAATAGTTGTAACTTTACATTTCTTAATAGAAAAAAACATGACACATTTGCCAATGAAATGATAATTAGAAGCACAAAACACTTTATTCAAAATAGCAGCTATTTGCATAATCCTGCCAGAAAATCTTCACGACATATGCGATGTTATGCTTAGTGCAGTCCCACACAGTAAACCAAAAGTTAATGTCTATACTGCAAAAACTGCTCGTTCTTTATTTTTCTCATTGAAAAAAATTACAAACGTACCAATCTGTCAACTTGTTCTTATCAAATATTACAGTTTCATGTGTCAATGATAAACAAGTCCAAGATGGGTAAGTTTCCTTTTTTCAAATTGAAATGTTCTTCACTTCTAAACATCGTCGTCAACGTCTTCGTCATCATCGTCGTCGTCATCATCATCATCATCGTCTAATATGGATCTCCTCAGACGTTCACGGAAAGTATCAATATCCTCGCCGTCGTCATCACTATCTTCGTCGTCCAGTGACCGCCTTGACCTGCTCACCGTGTTCAAAAAGTCGTCGTCGTCGTCGTCATCATCATCATCAAAAATGCTCCTCTTATGCAGGAGATCGTCGACATCGATATCGTCGTCGCCGTCATCGTCGTCTTGGCGTTTCTGGCGGAGATCAGCCTCGGCTTGAGGGGCTCCAATGTCTGCCGGCACCTCCCTGCGCTTTCGCACAACTTCGGTTTCGCTTGTCTCGCCTTCATCTTCGCTGTATGATGGTGCCGGGATGTCAATTCCCTCCAGCTGCCTCTTCTTGCGTAAATCATCATCATCATCATCGTAGTCCATGCTTACATCACGTTTTCCTAAGGTATTGTCAAGCTGTAAATTGCGAAAAAAAAAAAAAAAGATTTTGAAAGTGTCGAGAAAATACAAGAATGGAAAATAATGACTCGATCATTTGATATATTTACTAAACATAAGTATAGCAATTTGATTAATGTTCTCTTGGTAATATCTTATGTGATGGAATAATGTTGTGGATAACTACACAAGGCTTCAGAGAGAGAAATAAATATTTCCCATACTTTAAGTTACTTCGCGGGGTGAAAACCTCCATAATTTAGTCTTTTTTAGATATAATTCAGAAGAATTTCAGATTGAAATTTTCCAAAAAAAAAAAAAAAAAAAAAAATTAACAGATGGAATAAAATAAAGTTAAGTAAATCTTACCTGATCCATCGAATCTGCATCTGACGGCACGTCGACGGAGGTGTCTGCCCCCATAGGTTCATCTTGTGCAGAGACTGTGTAAATTAGTGCCAAGCAGGCAATTCCAATCACTAGGACACGCATCGTTTCACTGAAAATTGAAATATGTTCTTGAAATTAAAATGAATAATTAAAATAAAATTAAAAGTTATCAGTGCACGACTTGATTCCCATTCCGCCACGGGCTTATTTCCTTTTATAAAATTTTCTGCGTTGGTTTAGCTTTAAAAATTTGAAGGAGACCGGTAACATTTTGCATATAAAACAAAGTTAAGCATTTTTGGAGAATGAAAAATAAAACAGAACATGCCCATGTTCATTGCAATGATCGGTGACTAGATATGAATGGAGCCTAGATCTGTGTGCTGCTGGTGCTGAGACAGATTTTTCATGATTATCTACGCTTCTCGGCTGGATAATCAAATAACAATTCAACAAAAACTAAACCGTCACACAAATGTAAAATATAAAAACCTCAAAATAAGAAAAAAACTTACCTTATTCTTTTTTCTACGAAAAAAACTCTGGAACTTCTACTCTATATTGCTGAGAGTATCGTCTTCAAGGTACGCACCACGAACGCGATCTTCCACCGTCACGAGACAATGACGTCAAATCATGACGTCATGCTGACACGTCAAATGATGCGCTCGCGCTTGGGTGCACGTCGTTACGCGACAGATGGTAACACGTAGAAGGTGGCGCGAAATGTCATCCGTCTTTTTTCGAAACATCTTCAGTTGAAACATATGGCTGTATTAGGGCCTAGTCTACCTGCTTATACGGAAGACATTTGATTAAAAACAATTTTTATTAAGATTCTTAGAAAATTCGAGAATGATTCTACCGATATCTTGTTGTCGTCTTCTCTAAACTCATAGACTAGCGGTAGATCTAGGTTATAAGTGAGTGGGGGGGGGGGNTAGTAACCCTTTGCTTTTATATAGCGTAGAAAATGCATTCTGAATTACCAGGGCTAAAACCAAATGTTAAATAAAGGATTCTCTGTTGACAATGAAATGGCTATTTACCCTATTATTGTCTGTCACTGAGTTTGATTTTTGCATTCTTGCACCTTTACCAGTTTGCTTCCTTTTCATACTTTACATTGATTTCCTGTCACCCTGTTACATGACTTTAGAGATATCAGAATTCTTATAGGCAAAGATACTGCTGCAGAGGGCAGTTCAGCAGGAGATATGGGCATTACAAGAGTCTCCCATATACTGGACAAATATTCTCCTTACTTAACTATTTCCTACTTTCACACATTTATCTTTCACCTTGCTTTAAGTCATCACAGTAATCGAGAACAATGTCACAACGCCTGGATTTCCTTCTTTAGAAAGCAAATCACTGGACGCTATGGACAGTGTGCCACTGCCCAGTCTCCTGTATGACCATGCTGCAGGAGACAGTTGGCTGTCAAGTGAAAACTGCCCAGTGGTCACTGATGCCTTGGGGGATGTTGATTTATCTGAATCCCAGGAGCTGAACTACATGGCCACAAGGTCCAGGTTGTACTGTAGGCTGGCTCCTCAAGGTTGGCCTGAACTCTATGCTGCAGACACTGATACATACCTGTTATACAGTGATAATACTTGTAATAATGACGATAATTAACTCTTGTGCTCCTTAGAAAAATTTTGAAAATCGGAAAAAGCAATGCTGACACAAAAAGAAACCACATTACTATTTATTTTTCACAAGTAAAAAGTGACAAAAATACCATGTAATTGTTGTCAAAGGCCAAACCAGATTGTTGAAGTGTGGGGAAGAATAGAAAACTAACAACAAGTTATCGAGAGCTTTTTCATTTCATTTATTTTGCAAGTATAACTTAAAATCCAATGAAATCCATTTAGACATGATAAAGTAGGATGAGAATATAATTTTGAAGTACACTACATCAGTTTCTGCAGCAAATTAAGAGAAAAACAAACATGATACACTACTGATGGGCATTGGTTGGAAGCAGATCCTTTTTATGTCTGAGTTCCCCAGTATGCCACAGTCTTCAAGTTTGGGTTTCAGTGTTCTTTGCTTTTCTTTCTTTTACCATCACCTAGTGTCTTCAGTTCTAAATTTCTCTGTCATGTATATATATATTTTTCTTAATTATTTTTCTGGCTTTTAGTCCCAGTTAATCCAGGGGATTATGAAGGGGGGGGATTGGCTGTTACTGTTCTGTAATTATTGAATTATTTTATTGTTAAGAAATTTTTTTATGTGTTCAGAAAATTCATTTTTTTCAAATATTTCTATTCTATTCTTCTCTTTTTTAAAACCATTTAAAGTTTTATTTCTCATTTACATATCTTAAAACATCTTTTGAAATTTCAATTCATTATTACTTTCCACCCTGTCACTGTACTATCCATATCCATCTATTTTCTCTATCAGAAGTGTGGGTATTGAAGGATTCCCCAGTACTTTGCACTGCTGCCCAGAGAGACAAATCTGCAAGAAACGCCAAAAAAGAAGCACTGGCATCTGACACTACTGCTTCTTTAGATGGTCTAAATAGAAAATCTGCATACACACAGAGATACACTGTGCATGAATTAAAGATGAGGCTTAACACTAGCGCTTTTGGTGTTAGAGGTAGCTTTATTGTTCACTGCACCTAACAATTCGGTTGCCATGTTGAAAACTATGATAATCTGTTTTGCCTTTCCCTGTTGAATTGGAATGTTTTTGTCCATTCCAATGTGAATTTTGTGGATTCATATTATGGAATTGAAATGGAATGTTTTGAGATGATCGAATTTTCTTATTGTATGCATTTTTATGTTTCTGCTACTTCAGAATTTATATTGAAAGCACTAAATATTTCTAAATAAATTATATCAGATGTTCTTTTTTCAGAATATCTTACAAAAAAATACTAACTTATCATTTTGTAAAACTGCTTATGTGATGATGACTGATACTTAAACCTGCAACTATACCCTAATGTTATAAAGTTGTAGTTTTTATATATTACCATAGCATAACCACTTTAACAGCATAAATAAACTGTAGTTTTACTGAAAAAAAAAGTTAACATTGTTTAAAATCTCCTCCTCAGTCCGTACGAAGAAGCGCAGTGGCAGCTATGACTCTGATGATGAGGACCTCATTCCCCTAGAGCCACTGGATCTTGTGTGGGCCAAGTGTAGGGGCTATCCATGGTATCCTGCTTTGGTAAGAGGAGTAATACCTGTTCATGAGTGCCTGGTGCTGGTGTTCTCTGGTGCCTGGTGCTGCTAGTGCCATATTGTGCCTGTGGCACCTGGTACTAGTACTGTATTGTGCCTGTGGTGCCTGATACTTGTACCATATGGTGCCTGGTGAAGGTATTATGTAGTGCCTGTGGTTCCTGGTGATGGTGTTATTCAGGTCCTGGTACTAGTACCATATTTGCCTGTGGTGCCTGGTATTAGTCCTATGTTGTTCCTGGTTCTGGTGCCATGGTGATTGATGGTACTGACAGCAGGTTTTTCTAACTGGACTAAACTATTTTTATAAATGGAATATAAAAATAAATTTACCAAGGTTTTCTAATGGGAATATTGAAGTGCGTATTGATGATAAAATGAGGCATTTTATGAAATCATTCTTGTATGAAATGTTATTGAAATTAAAAAAAGATATATTTAATTTATTTTTCTGTTGTTTTGCAGATTATCAACCCCAAGATGCCTAAGACGGGTTACTTTCACAATGGTGTTCCAATTCCCGTGCCACCAGATGGCGTGCTAGACCTGCAGAAGAGATTTGAAGAGCCAGTCTATTTGGTGCTGTTCTTTGATACAAAAAGAACATGGTGAGTCAATCTGTAACAGTATAGTCCACGACTTCTCAGTGGGTTCCACAGTTGCTGACAATATGCCTGGCATATCTTTTTAACCTGTATTCAGACAGGCTGTCGTTGTTCTCAGCGCCTTGGCATGGGTATGCTGTTTAAGTCAATTTTTTACTCAGTTCACTACAGTTTGCTTATTTGTGTAATACTCTCACTTAACTTCTTATGAATTATATACTATTACTCTGGCATGATTGTTGATATTTTGAAATTTTCTGTACAGTGTCCATGTCGTAAGTAGTTCTTTCAGCATAATAAGGATTGTAATAAAAAACATTACAAATTGAAAAGTAGTTATCCTTTGTAATTTTGTTAAATGGTATTGTTTGAAAAGAAAAGATAGGTGTCAAAGTCTGCAGATTGTAATTTAGATATCTTTTTATGCAGCTGGCACAACCAGATATTGGGTTAGAAACTTATTCAGCATCTCATTTTGGGCAACTCTTTCTGTATTATCCAGGCAATGGCTACCCAGGGACAAGCTGGACCCTCTGGGTGTGGACTCTGGTCTGGACAAGAGCAAGTTATTGGACAACAAGAAGCCAGCGGTCAAGAAAGCAGTGAAGAAAGCGTACGAGAAGGCCATTGCTCACAGGTGTAGAGTAACGGGAGAACCAAACCCTCTGTCTGGTGAATCAAGCAGCGAGGATTGATCTGTGTGTGTGAACTGTATAAAGTCTAGTAAAATGGAATCTGAAGGGTTTGCCCAGCCATTTGGGGGGTAAATTCAAAGTGTCAGGATGGATTTCTGAACAATCTGAATTCTAGTGGGTGAAGGAATGGGAATCTTGGGGATGAAAAGCCAAAGAGGCTTACCCTACCATTGGAAAAACATTCAAAAAGTGAGGTAGCAGGCATAGGCAAGAGAAGGCACTAGAGGAAAATCTTTGGAGGAAGTTAAATCTGTTTTCTCCCTTGTGAGAAGAATACTTAAGGTAGCAAATCTTTTGGTGTCCCAGTGTCCAGGAAATTTAAACTGTGCTGTGGGAAATGGGATCCTTTTCTGGACAAAATAAAAAAGCCTGTATCTGTGTTCACAAAGTCATAAATAGAGAATTTTCTCTGCCTGAGGCAAGGAAGATATATTTTTGCAGAACTAAGAACTCTGCAGGGAATTTTTTTAAAAAGTTGTCAGTTCAAGTCAACTCAAAACGGAGAAATTATGTAGCAGAGTGACAATGAATGCATTTACTGGAAGCTCACCTCTTGCACACGCAACTTCTGCTTAGCTTTGGAGTGAATGGCAGAATAATGCTTTATAATTTCCAGAAATTAACAGATTTATTTTAGATAATTTATTTTAATGACTTTTTTTTATTTCAGCAGTTCATTTTCTTTAAATTTGTCAAATCTAGCACATGAAATATTTCAATACCTGGCAGTAAAGAATTAGTGAAACCTCACGAAGGCAAGTAGAAGAATAAAAATTAAAACTGGAACAAGTTTTTTTATATTTTTTTATAAATAACAAAAATTGGACAAAGCAAAAGCCCTTTCAACAGTTGTGGCTTAGAGATCCGAAATCCCTGCAGTGTAGGAAATTGCTGGATTATGCCATATTTAGTGAGGCTGTGAGCCTGTCTGAACCATTGTCTTTTACAATGAACGTATGAGTCGCCTCGCAGTCTTTTCTCTCTTTTTTATAAGTGTGTATTTTTGATGATCATTCGTGTATTAATTTCTTTTTCTCTTAAATGGTATGGGTAGTAAGGGTGTTGACTGTGATTTGTGGAATTTTTAATGTTTATACTACAGTAGTGGGCTTGTGATGCTTCACAATCGGAAAAAAAAAGTATTGTCATGAATGTTAAGAACGTATCATTCACTTCCACTAAGAAAGTCTAATAGTTTCAAACTTTTGATTATTTTGTTTATTAATTTGAGCAGTGGCTATGTCTTCTCTTTCTTATTAAGATGTAAAAATTAAAGAGAAACTTTAGAGTAAACAAAAGGAAAAAACTGCACTGCAATGAGGAAAGGAACACATTTTACCTTAACGTGTGGTTGTTATCCTAGTAGATTTTTTTTTATATCTTCACTGGGAAGAATTTATAGCATCCAACAGATTTGCTGTACTTGTCGTAAAAATAGATAGATTTACTCATTTATACGTATAAATGGAAAGAAATGATTGCAAGGACTTGATTATCAATTTCACTGCCAGTTGCACAGATACTAATGTTTTATGTAGGTTCATGTAGCAGCATACAAAAAAATAGAATTATAGATATTATTAACCAGCATATTTGGTAAGAGTTAATGTTGAATTTATTGATATGTTTGTTAATACACAAGTGTCTAAGAATACAAGGTGTGTCACTGTTAATGTTTTCTTGATTCTATCACTCTGATGGCGTTTTTTATTGTATTAGATGTAACATAAATGTAAATTGGATGTAAGTATACAGTGTTATAAATGACTCCAATGTTATTAAACATTTTGAAATATAAAGAAAATATGCACTCGTTTTTTTGTTTTTATTTATTTATTTATTTATTTATTTATTTATTTATTTATTTATTTATTTATTTATCATTCCGACATAAGGACACGCAAAATTCCCTACAGTATGATGGGTGAAATAAAATTGACAAAAATATGAAAGTGATTAAACAAACGGTGGTACTTTGCTGTCTTTCTCAAAAATGGATTTCCAGGGCTGCGAGTTCTTTCCAAAAATTGCATAATTGTTGCTTATTGCAGTCATCCAAATGGACTCGATGAAGTAGTATTTTTGATTTTTTTTCTTTTTAAATAGAGCGCTAATGAACCCCCCATTCGGTTACTGGAAACAAAATCGTACTAAAATTTCCCTCTTGGAATTATAATTTTGACTGTATGATTTATAGTACTAAACCGTACCAAATGGCATCGTTCGCCCTCTAGAATACCAAAAAATTCCGGGGCCCTTCAGCATCCGCGACCCCCCCCCCCCCCCCCTTTTCAAATAATCCTGGATCCGCCCCTGCTATTTATATGAATGTTTTAACATTCTGTCATTATTGGAAATTATTTGGGTTAAGACAATTAACCGTGGCATTTTCTTGAAAAAAAATATATAACCACAAATTAATTAGAAGTTAAAAGGACCACACAAATATACTTTTTACAATTTTTAATATAGCTGCACACTACACGTTTTACAATTCTTTACATTGTGGAATTTACATTATGATAAAAGCTACTTGTAAAGAAAATAGCCACACTAGTACTAAACCCTTTAAAACAGTTATAACTTTACATTTCTTAATAGAAAAAAAACATGACACATTTGCCAATGAAATGATAATTAGAAGCACAAAACACTTTATTCAAAATAGCAGCTATTTGCATAATCCTGCCAGAAAATCTTCACGCCATATGCGATGTTATGCTTAGTGCAGTCCCACACAGTAAACCAAAAGTTTATGTCTTTACTGCACAAAATGTTCGTTCTTTCTTTATTTTTCTCATTGAAAAAATTACAAACGTACCAATCTGTCAACTTGTTCTTATCAAATATTACAGTTTCATGTGGCACTGATAAACAAGTCCAAGATGGGTAAGTTTCCTTTTTTCAAATTGAAATGCTCTTCACTTCTAAACATCGTCGTCGTCGTCGACATCTTCATCATCGTCGTCGTCGTCGTCATCATCGTCTAATATGGATCTCCTCAGACGTTCACGGAAAGTATCAATATCCTCGCCGTCGTCATCACCATCTTCGTCGTCCAGTGACCGCCTTGACCTGCTCACCGTGTCCATTAAGTCATCGTCGTCGTCATCATCATCATCATCATCAAAAATGCTCCTCTTTTGCAGGAAATCGTCGTCATCGTCGTCATCGTCGAACTGGCGTTTCTGGCGGAGATCAGCCTCGGCTTGAGGGGCTCCAATGTCTGCCGGCACCTCCCTGCGCTTTCGCACAAGTTCGGTTTCGCTTGTCTCGCCTTCATCTTGGCTGCTTGCTGGTGACGGGATGTCAATTCCCTCCAACTGCCTCTTCCTGCGGATATCATCATCATCATCATCGTAGTCCATGCTTACATCACGTTTTCCTAAGGTATTGTCAAGCTGTAAATTGCAAAAAAAAAAAAAAATAATAAAAAGATTTTGAACGTGTCGAGAAAATACAAGAATGGAAAAAAATGACTCGATCATTTGATACATTTACTAAACATAAGTATAGCAATTTGATTAATGTTCTCTTGGTAATATCTTATGTGATGGAATAATTTTGTGGATAACTACACAAGGCTTCAGAGAGAGAAATAAATATTTCCCATACTTTAAGTTACTTCGCGGGGTGAAAACCTCCTCAATTTTGTCTTTTTTAGATATAATTCAGAAGAATTTCGGATTGAAATTTTCCAAATAAAAAAAAAAAAAAATTAACAGAAATGATAAAATAAAGTTAAGTAAAACACAAAAGTATTGAAAAAAATTGACCAGTTGCATTTCAAAACTTAAAGAAAAAATGTAGTCCTTTCACGATTGTCGATCTTACCTGCTGATCCATCGAATCCCCATCTGACGGCACGTCGACGGAGGTGTCTGCCCCCATAGGTTCATCTTGTGCAGAGACTGTGTAAATTAGTGCCAAGCAGGCAATTCCAATCACTAGGACACGCATCGTTTCACTGAAAATTGAAATATGTTCTTGAAATTAAAATGAATAATTAAAATAAAATTAAAAGCTATCTGTTCACGACTTGATTCCCATTCCGCCACAGGCTTATTTCCTTTTATAAAATTTTCTGCGTTGGTTTAGCTTAAAAAATTTTGAAGGAGACCGGTAACATTTTGCATATAAAACAAAGTTAAGCATTTTTGAAGAATGAAAAATAAAACAGAACATGCCCATGTGCAATGATCGGTGACTAGATATGAATGGAGCCTAGATCGGTGTGCTGCTGGTGCTGAGACAGATTTTTCATGATTATCTACGCTTCTCGGCTGGATAATCAAATAACAATTCAACAAAAACTAAACCGTCACACAAATGTAAAATATAAAAACCTCAAAATAAGAAAAAAACTTACCTTATTCTTTTTTCTACGAAAAAAACTCTGGAACTTCTACTCTTTATTGCTGAGAGTATCGTCTTCAAGGTACGCACCACGAACGCGATCTTCAACCGTCACGAGACAATGACGTCAAATCATGACGTCATGCTGACACGTCAAATGATGCGCTCGCGCTTGGGTGCACGTCGTTACGCGACAGATGGTAACACGTTGAAGAGTGCGGCAGTGTTAGAAGGTGGCGCGAAATGTCAGCCGTCTTTTTTTGAAACATCTTCAGTTGAAACATATGGCTGTATTACCTGCGTATACGGAAAACATTTGATTAAAAACAATTTTTATTAAGATTCTTAGAAAATTCGAGAATGATTCTACCGATATCTTGTTGTCGTCTTCTCTAAACTCATAGACTAGCGGCAGATCTAGGTTATAAGTGAGTGGAGGAGGGCTTAGCCCTCTCACTTTTTTCAATTATAATGTGACCTAATGGCAGGAAAAGGAAGGGGAGGGAGAAGGGGCTTCACCACCTTTTAAAGCCAAATGAATATTTAAAATTTGAAATTAGCCAGTTTAATACGCCGTAGGCCGAGTCCCCAGTGAACAGATTTCAAGTGCATAGTTTATTGCAAAGACACATTAGACAATGCCTTATCATTCTTACTGACGGGACATTACATATAGAACTCAAGCGAGAGTTTTCTGAAACATTATGAATGCTTTTCTCTCGACAGTTAATCCCGCGACATATGGCCACTGTGTTCACAGAAGGAAGAAAAATTTACATTATTGATTTAATTTGCACTGCAGCACTAGCACGCGTTTATAATATAAGTTTTATACAATCCCGTTTACAATATAAGTTTTATACAATGTTTAATAATTAAACACCCCTATAATTATTTGATGAAGATTTCAGATAAGAATTATATCTGCACATATCAATTATATTAATAGTTGTGCTTTACTGTCAAGCACACGCCTATTGTACGGCTGATTCTAGGAAAATTATTCGTCTGGTAGCCTATACGTCATTCACCTAGAGGGCGAGAGTGAGGGGGGGGGGGCGCATGTAGTGCCTGCTGTCTCCGAAAGGGGGAGCCACCCCTAAAGTTTTCAAGGTATTAATGAAGTGACCAGTCGAATCCAAGTAATTCACAACCAGGTAAAGTTCATTAAAGCTACATCCTTGAATTCCTTTTGTGGCAAAACACGCTGGAGACTAGTTACAATTATTAGCTTCAGTGGCTACTTTTAGCCAGTTAAGTGCGCCCATACGACGGTCCATTACCTACCCTTTCACTTTTCGACCAAATCGATAGTGTATATGAAGTGTGCAGGTTTTTGAGTTCTCTGTACTCTGATGTTATCGAACGATCCCTGTGTTGTCATTACCAAGAACGTAAATTGGGCGTGACCACTACTTTTGTGTTCACGTGTCTTGTGTATTGTGAACCATTTCTTCTGACATGAGTGATTATGACAATAGGTCAATACAATGAATTATTAAACGTGTCCTGTTTAACTCTTGCAACATGGTTAATATTTTAACCTTAACCGGTATGTGTTTCAGTGACGTAGTGAACAGGGGGATTTCTGTTGCGTTATAATTCACATCTCAGTAGTTTTTTTTAGCTGTGACAGCTTCCAGATTTTTTTTTTATGTAATTGACATTTTGGAGCCATGGGATAAATACGCATGCATGTACAGGGTAGCTGGCACATTGGGGAAATCGCAGCATCGATAGATACAGGTGTCGTCAGCTTTACTGCGATGAATTGACAGAGTTAGACTCTTCCATGCACTGACAAACCACATAACATGCAGCCACGATTCATTGGTCTCCACTCTATGTGTGGGTGATTCGACTTGAGCGAACAGCCTATCTACCCATAGAAGAAGTTAAGATCGATTCAATTTGCTATTCTCACATGTTGAGTAATTTTCGGACCAGGCTACATCCATGTGTAGCTTATTGATATTTTTTCTATGGATAAACAGCATGGTTTTGTGTTGGACCAATTATAGTCATAAAGGGATTATAGTCAATCAATATAACGCTACCAGTTCAGCTTAGAATTTGTCTATTGTACAAGGTGCTGCTGAGGGGGATAGTGAATAACTATTACACTGATCTTTATCAACTTTGGGATACGCAGTCACTGAGTTTAAGGAATTTAACCTCACTTTAAGTGGTGAATCTTAACTGGACACGCATATCTTCACACCTCGACTCGAGTGGAAACTGAGAGAGACGCTGGACATTCGGACGCCGGTTGATAATGTGGCCGTTCCGAGAAAGAAGACTTTTTCAGATATGTCTTCTTCTTATCTCCGTTGACAGTCTCCATTCGACACTGAATATACCAATTATGGGGTAAGTGCTGTGTTTCTTTGAACTCTTTACTGTGTAGATTACTCAATGGCTGTTGTATTTCTGACGCTCGGGTTTTGTAGTCTCACTTCAGCCGTATACACGATAACATTTGCTTTGGCAAATTTGAACTATAGTTTTTGCTGTATGTCTCTAAATTTAGATTTTCCTCACAGGGGAATTGTAATTTGATTTAAGACAGATTATCACTACTTGTAATACAGATTTTCACACAAAAAAAATCATGAATAGTTAATACTTTGTAATCTGCAACATTGCATTCCATTTTTATATCGATATGAAGGTATTGTCTTTAGATAAAAAAAGTATGTAACAATCTAATCCAAATCTAATTATTTTGGAGAAGAAAGAGAGTTAAATCTGCGTGAACCTCCATTATATTTGACTGAACAATGTGTTTTATACTATGCATGTACTCTTTCCACTCCTTGTACAAAAAAGTATTATTATTATTATTATTATTATTATTATTATTATTATTATTGGGCAGTCCATTAATGTTTTTTTTTTTCTTTTTCATAAGTACTTTTGACTCCATACCACAAATTACAGTATATTATGTACTCAATGCATACACCCAGAAGCCTTATCCGAGTAGCAAATCTTGATAAGACTGGCAAAGTGAACGCTATTTAAAGATATCGATACTTTCTGCTGAGCTTCCTAGATTTCTTCTCCTTAAAGTACTTTCATCTATAGACATGTCTGACTATAATACAATCATCTAATATTACTTTCCACAGAATATGGTACGGTGATCCTTTGCGTCGGTGTTTTGTCAAGCTGCCCCTGTATCTCTACTTATTAAAGTGCTCTTCTGAATATTATTCGCAATTGCCAGCCAAGTTGTAGACTGGTTGTAGTAAATCTAGATAAGCCAAGCAAACAGAATGTCATTGAATACTGATATTGATACTCTTTGCGGTGCTGCCTAGATTGAGATCTTTGAAGGGGCTACGTTGGATGCGCAGCTGGCAGCATCAAGTTCGTGTCGTTTCTATGGCTTCTTTCTTACTAGTCTTTACCTAGTGTCATCCTAAAGAAATTATTTCCAAAATCTTGTATTCTTTTTACATAGACTACAAGAAGTCTTTTACTAAAAGTTTTAGCTTATGTTATCACAGTTAACTTACATCCATTGTTCTTATTTTTTTTCTCCTTGAAGACTAAGAAAGAGGTAAGAAAACTAGTACCTCCCATATATATATATGAGCTTCCTGTTGTTTTCTAACCAGCAAGAGGTGTGTCTAAATCACAAACCTTCCCCTAATCTCACCCACCTACCTACCCACCCTGTCACCCCTCCCCCAATCCCTGCCCCACCCCCTTCCTTCTAACATGCTACCTCGATGCATGCTCCCTCGCTTCCAACATTTTACCCTACATATGTCTAAGTGTAATAACAGTTACGAAACATTCGAAATAAATGTGCCTGTTGTGTTTTTGAATTATCCTGCTGTATATTAAAAAGGGACCGAATCTGTGACATACCTCATAATGATTGTTGCTGTAATTTGCCATTTGTGAACTGTAGAGAAGACCTGGGTAGCATTTTTCTTTTCAGAAAGACCTATTTTTCAGAACTTACTTGACATTAGATATATTTTGAATATATGATTTCTTTGTGGTTTCATATCCATTTTCGGTCTGAATACTATATGTACACAAAATGTACTCTGTGAAAGCATGCTCATTAGTTAAGACTTAAATTGAGATAATTATCACCCAGACTTGGATAAAATTGATGTGCATATGTTTTTTTTTTAATTAAAATATGAATTGGGTCTATTGTGTATATTGTAAGAGAATGGCCACTGGTGTAATTGTGTTTGTTAGCCTAGTCAATATGTTAGTGATCTGTTATAAACCTGTTATACTGATATCCTGTGGTTCTTCCTGCATATTTATGTAAGATGTCTGTACTTCTTGTCTTACATAGGTATAATTTCTGTATTAAAGATAGTCAATGTGTTTTGAAATTTCTCTCTCTCCTCTCTCTGAATAGGAATGTGTGTGTGTGTGTGTGTGTGTGTGTGTGTGTGTGTGTGTGTGAGAGAGAAGGAGAGAGAGAGAGAGAGAGAGAGAGAGAGAGAGAGAGAGAGGTCTGATGTATACTAATGCTGTTGTTGTATATGCGGAGAACACTATACATTCCTATATTATAACACTGACAATTAGCCAAGCACCCTTATAAAATTACTATTTAACAAGTTGTTTATAAGGACTTCCTCAGTTAGTGTGGGCTCGTAATGTTCAGTCATTATTGATGACAAGATGCATTTTAAACTTCTGTCGTCAACTTCCCACTCCCTTCCCTCTATGCTGTTTCTATGTTTCATGTACAGTGCAGGGTGGAATCAATTAGATGTATTGATTAGGCTTTAAGTATGTTATTGTTGGTTATGTTGTTCCAATATAGGATGTTTGGGTGTGGAAAAGTGGGGCAAAAAAGTTGTGGTCATTTTGAGCCATTGCACGATGAAAAGTATTGTGAGAAATAAGATATTCAGCCAAGTGAATTGCTTAAGAAATTTAAAGGAAAAACAAAGGGAAAAAAAGCTTTGGACATTGCCAGATGAAGACTGGTCTTTGATCTGCAGTGAGTTATTGGCAAATTTGAACAGTGTTTTGGGACATTTCTCCATTTCTGCCATGTATTGAATCAGCCAAAGATAGCGTGGTTTTGATGTACGTGTTAACACTTTTTTGAAATGCAAAAATTGAACTTCAGTGCCAGTTGTTTAGATAATTTATAGGCCCTTTCAAACTTGTCCAGTGACCTTGTTAATTGCTATATTTAGGTTTTGTCTTTGACATTTGTAACTGCCATCTCTCCAGAATGGTTGGATACCACCAACAGTTAAATGTTCAAAGGAGAATATACACTGTTTATGATTAATTCCAGTGCAATTTATATCTTTATTGATTGAATAGTTTTCCTGGAATGACGTGAAAACTCAATTATTTGCAGTAGATCAGTCACAATTTGAATGGTACTATAGTGCATTTAGAGGTAATATCAAAGGCATTACAACGTTGTTATGAATTCTTTCCTGCTTGTGTAACAAGCCTGTCTGTTTTGTTCTTTGGATGTGGTAAAAGTGATTTTAAAGTTGTTGTATTGAACTAAAGTACATGTAGTATATATATATATATATATATATATATATATATATATATATATATATATATGTTGGTCCAGTATGGTATTTTGCAGTAGATGCATGCTCTTTTCTTGAGTTTTAATGCTTGGATTGGTGCAACCTGAAAAGAGCCATTTAATATTTTTTCTTAAAATAAAAGAATCAGGAACTTCATTGGAGAATTTAGAAGGTTTTCTGCCTGTCTTCCATGTACCCTGTGGCTTCTAAAACAACCATTCGATTTTGTTGAAAAAAAAATTGACAATTTTATTTTAGCTTTGGCTTTGGAAGTCTTCCTTCTAGGAAACAAGACAGTCAGCATGGATGGAAACATCTGTCTCTAACTACACGTTTTCTTTGTTCTTAGAGGGGATTAAAAAGGAAAATAAAGTAGAGACACTAAATAAGGAAGTAGGGTACCATCAATATCAGTGAGATAATGCTCCTCTGAATAATATGCTTTGCACATTTATTCCCACAAGGTGGCTTCATAGGATGATCTGCTCTTTATTTCCGTGTGATGTGTCTCGCTAATGGCCATTTTTCTTTTGTTGGACCAATTTGGAGATGAAACTGCACTTTTATAGCAATTTCTATCCCTCCGCCATGGTTATTATGCTTTTATGCAATATTAAGACTTTTTTTCCAATTGTCTCTCATTTAGTCCTCCTCTTCCTGTCTGTGATAACGCTTTGAAATATTTATGTCATGACTGCGGTGATGCTGCGTATGATCACGGCAGGATACTATAGGCAATCTAGTGAGTGGTTTAATGAAGTGGCACAAAAACTGTCTCTTCACCTCATACTTGTCATGAAGCTTATAATGTCCTCACTGAGTTCATGAGATGGGGTGATGTTTACAGTGGGGGATTGGGCAAAGGTAGACATTTTTTCTCACAAAAAATGAGGGTTTGTTAGAAATTTCATTGAATACTGAAGTGTATTATTGCCAAAAATGTATAAAAATAAGATAAATGAAATGAATTAAAGTAATAAAAATGTAAAATATAAAAATCATCAAAATTCTTGCACTTCATTTTCTGTCACCCTATACAGCTAGCATACAGCCATGTTGTAACATAAATATATAACTTAAATATCACACGAATGCAAAGTGACATGTTTTTTTTTTTCCAGAGACACCTCCACAGGTGTCATTTTTACAGTGAGTTGCAGGTGTCAAATGACTTCTTTCAGCACATGGAGAGTGACAATGATCACGTATTCTAGTCAATAATACTGGGTATCAATGCTGTCTGTGATCAATGGTTCTTTGATGTTAAGTAAGGGAATATTTTTTTAAGCTCAATCTAATACTACCAGGAATAATGATCACCAGCCACTAAACATGATTTAATTCTAGTTAGGCTAATGCTATACAGGAATATGAATTTTTTAAAGTTTCACAATGATTTTTATGTTATTGGACCATTGGAGCTTAAGGAATATAAACCTTTTTTTTTTTTTTTCTTTTTTACAATTTCTCATTAATTTTGATTTAATTGTACCATTTTTTCATCCGACTGGTATGACCTAAATTAGACTATGTTTTTCTGGGTCAGGTTGTCTACCCTGGGGGTAGAAGGGGAGCACACTCTGCTAATTTTTTCCATTCTTTGACTTGGTTCAAATATCAAAGGCCCCATTCAGAATAGGGGACTAACTAGTCCGAGGGTCAAATATGGCCCACCAAGCTGAAAACTTCCCCATGGGATATGTATCTATTAGCGGATTAGAGAGCAAGCTTTGTAGTGGGTCGTCATATTTGACCCTTGGACTAGTTAGTCCCCTGTTCTGAATGGAGCCAAAGGCTGTGGATGAGTAATTGCAATTAACCCCACAACACGTGTCCCCTCTGCCACTGCACAACAAAAGACGTAAAGTTGGCAGTTAATTAATTGCGCAACATGCTGGGCAAACTGTATTGCAATCAATAATATTGATCTGCAGACCATTCTAATTGAGCTCCGCTCAGAAACAATCTACTTAATTTGTAAAAAAAAAATGGAGATGCATGCTAAATGTAATGTCTTGTGTCTCTCACTGTGAGGTACATGATAGACAAAGACTCACTTATCCTTAGTTGTGCTAATATTCTTATCTTGGATGTGGCTCATTTGTCTTAATTATGCCAATATTTTCTTCTCGATTGATGACAGTACATGTCCTTGAATCAATCTTTTTTATTGTGTCAACAATTTCATACTGTTTTTTAACCCACCTAAAAAATGGACTCAACCAACCAACCAATAGTAAATATCATCTGAAATGAAATAGGAATTGTACTTGCCCATGGCTTATTTGATTTTATGCTTAAAAGGAATAAATAATTAAGGTTTAATTCAGGATTATAGAATTAATCTGTGTTATTGTTTTGCCCACACACTGAACAACTGAAACAATTAACTTGAATGACACTGTATTCACATCATGGTTTAGAAACAGAAGCCTATAGTAAGCCTATACAAACAGTCATTAATATTTAGTTAATTAGATACTGGTATATCAAACCAGCTCTGCTTTTAGCTATTGGCAACAAGATGCTAAAGATGCAGTAGTGTAGGTAATTTTCAGTGGTTACTAGTACATGTAGACTTTGTAGGTTGCCTTTGATAAGAAACCTGTCAAAGTACGTTTCTTGGAAAGAAAAATCAAATCCAAAAAAAAAATTCAAGTGAGGGAGGACAGAGGTGATCAACCATCACTGTGGAACAGCAATCTCTTGCTTTCTTATTCACCATTGTGTCAATTGTATTTCCCAGAATCGTGCATATAACCAGAGAATCATCATGCCCCCAGTCTCAGTGTATTCTACCCCGAGCCCTGTAACAGTGTGATCAATACATGCAACCACACAGGCAATCATGTTTTTCGTCATCCACAGTCGGGGCATGATATGATTATTGATTTGGCCCTGGCAGGGGTGGGCCAAGATGTTACCTCCCCAGACGCCACTCATTAATTGATTTTCTGTACCTTCTCTATAACCTAGGGTCTCAGCAGTGAAATAACGCCAATGTTTGGTCCATAAT